AATATAAATGCACAGTACAGTCCAGTCATCAAAAAAACACAGATGAGTGTATCTCGATGAGATCCTTATGATGCATGTAGTCCGGCGATGTGCAGAAGAAATGAATAAATTGCGCACTCACCGGAAGCACAATTAAAATTGTGCGTTTGTGTCTCATACACCAAAGGTCACTCCGACTGTGGATGAAGGGAAGCTCTGAGCAGGTGGTTCTATGATGAAAGGTAACACATCTGGGGATTCCTTCTGGCAGACATGCTCCAAAACAGGATCAGCTGAATATTTCTCTGGGCCTTGGGGTAATCACCTGGTGGTCCAGCTGGTATAGAAGAGTGGCCGCCGGACCCCCTTGATCCGGCGGCTTAGCGTCACGGCTAGCAGGGGCTCCTCCTTAAGTAATCACCAGGTGATTACCCCAAGGCCCAGAGAAATATTCAGCTGATCCTGTTTTGGAGCCTGTCTGCCAGAAGGAATCCCCAGATGTGTTACCTTTCATCATAGAACCACCTGCTCAGAGCTTCCCTTCATCCACAGTCGGAGTGACCTTTGGTGTATGAGACACAAACGCACAATTTTAATTGTGCTTCCGGTGAGTGCGCAATTTATTCATTTCTTCTGCACATCGCCGGACTACATGCATCATAAGGATCTCATCGAGATACACTCATCTGTGTTTTTTTGATGACTGGACTGTACTGTGCATTTATATTGTGCGTTTTGTATTGTGAAGTGAAGTTGTGTGAAGCTCACGTCATTTCTTCCCCCCTTTTTTCAACTCTTGGGAAGATCACATATAGTGTGTTTGGTCACATATAATGTATGTGGTCCACATCTGTTGACATTTAAGTAAGGGATATTGCACCATCTTCAATACTGGTACAGTCATATAACATCTAGCGCTGCACTATTTATCTCATATTGTTTGTTTGAAGGTTGATGGTTTTCCTTTTTAGTGTATCAGCTGCTGTGTCGGTTAGCGCTCACTGAATCCCTCATTACCAATTCTTAATTACAGCATGCTGGTATTTCAACTTATTGCTCATCTTTTATAATTATTTAAAGTGTTACTAAACCCACAACAGTAAAATCAGTCTGTATATTCAGTAAGGCATGCTTGTTATACTCACTGTGGAACCTATGGTCTTAATCCTCTGCATTGTATAAAAAGGATGATTGATCTTGTCTTCTCTGATCTCCCCCCCCTTTTTAAGTCTCCAATCCATCTACTTATAGAACAGAGCCTTGGGGGCAAGCTGCACATGCTCCGCTTGGTGTGTATAGCTAGAGAGTTTTTATTTTCTTGGGATTCTTGGGAGAGTGCATGTGATCAGCACAGGGCCAATCAGCACTGTTAAGACAGAGGGCCAGGGGTCCTGCAGCCTCATAGGACAATTAGGGGAGAATGAATACTCCTCCTACAAGCTTTAACCAGTGCTCTGCTGGACACTGATAGAAGTCACAAGACTGCTCTAACTGCTGATGAGAAAAGGTATTTAGCAGTTTATATTTACTAAAATAATTGTATTTCCATGTTATGTGTTCTGTGGGAGACTAGATATAGTGAATGCAGGGTCCTGGGTTTAGTAACACATTAAGGAGGTCACTTCATGTGCCCCTACTGGATCCACTGACTCCACTGAAGTTAAACTCCAAAATGTGAAAGGGTAGGAAGCCCATTTACAGAACAGATTTCAAGGTCCAAAGACATGCTGATAAGTTAATTGGCTCCCTCCTGTCTAAGTTAGTCATAGTATGTATGAATGTAAGTTAGGGCCCTTAGATGGTAAGCTCCCTGAGGGCAAGGACTGATGTGAATGTACAATATATTTATGTAAAGTGCTACGTAAATTGACGGCACTATATAAGTACCTACAATAAATAAATACAAAGTGCATATACCACTACTTGTAATGTATATAAAAAGCATTAATCCTATCAAACATACTGCATTCTACAGAACAGATGTAGGGGTTCACTTCCATCCATAGGAATAAAATAGGTGGAACTTTGTAGTTGTTCCTAATATTGTCGATAGTAGCCAATCATTATTCATTCTACATGTGTAAAGTAGGTTGTGCAGCAAACCCTAATCTTGATAAAATCAAAGATACATAAAAAGAAAATGACTTACATATTCTTACACATGCAGATTATGAATAGTGACAGATAATAAAATGAATGCTAATTAAATAAGGGAATTTGTATAGTCTTTTTATGTAAATGAGGACAAAATGCCATTAGTTATTATAAGAATCTAAAAAAAGTGCTACTAATGTGGTGCCTGCAAAAAAAGAGAGAAATAGATGCTGAAAATTGGACCTAGCATATAGAAAATAAATGTAACTGTGCTGAATCCATACATACAGTACAGTGCAAGAACAGGCACTAAAAAGTACACTTTACATAAATACCAAAACAATGCTGTGAATTGTACTCAATGTAAAGAATAAGAGAGGTATTATCATGCAGTATTCATACTAGGGATTAGTAGAGTACATGTGGGGAAAAGATTACTGTTTTATCCATTGGCAAAATTTCACCAAAGTGGACAAGTTCAGTTTTGCTAATGGAGCTGCTTGGGTAAATTTTGCTCAAATGCAATCTTTTTCTGTGGAAGAAAAAAAAAGTATGTGGGACTACTCTTGGCACATAAACAGGGCCAGGATAGTTCGAAGCAAATTCTGTAACCCTCAGTAGCCCTTTCAAGCTCATTGTATCCTAAAACCATCTTAATTTTTTCTTAGCTTTGCACATCAGTAATTCATACAAAATAAGAAGAGATACTAGAATTGCATCCAGGATACAGAACAATACTCTGCAATTTCCCTAATGAGACATTGGGAATCACATCCATCACCTTGCAGTTATCACCATAAAAAGGATGCTAACAACTATCACTACAATCTAATTCCCAAGGAAGCTTTTTGTGTACGTGTGCAGCAGTTTCCCTGGAAGGAGGATGGGGGCTAAGATAACAAAGGCTAATTCTGGAATCTTTGGGTTCCCTGATCACTGCTTTCAACCAAAATGCAAAAGAATGAAGAACTAATGCTAGACACACTGACTATTTCTGTCACATTACTATACTGAAAGAACTGGATACATTGCAGAGAACAAAGAATTTATGTTCACTAATTTACCTTGCACTTGGTTCTCCAGTTCACATAGCAGACGTATGTCCTCTATGCTGCTTTGGAAGGAAACACGTTTAGCTGAAATGCTGGGAGGAAGAAAAGGTGTGGAGTCTAGGCAGGGAACAGAACTTGGTGTGGTTCTCAGTGCTAGCAGCCTCATGGGCAGCCTGGAGAGTGACAGTTAATGAGCAGCCAGGCTGCACTGAACGTTAAAAAAATGCTTGTATGAAACATATGCACATAATTTAACTGGATACTAACATTTATAGGTAAAGTTGATCCAGGGAAAATCTGATTGCCTCTCGGGGGATCAGGAAGGACTGTTTTCCCCTGCTGGAGGAAATTGGATCATACTTTGCTGGGTTTTTTGCCTTCCTCTGGATCAACGGTGGGTATAGGATTGTGTACATAGGATTGTGTATTTTTTTTTTTTTTTCTTTTTTCTTTTTGTTGGTTGAACTAGATGGACTTGTGTCTTTTTTTAACTAAACTAACTATGTAACTATGTAGCGTATGTTGTTGCAGGTGGTCATGGGCTTCTGGGAACTATGGGCCCAGAACAGTTGTCTTAACTGCCATTATGATCTGCTCTTTGGGGTTAAGGTGATACTAAACCCCGGACCCTGCATTCACTATATCTGGTCTCCCACAGTACACACAACATGGAAATGCAATGATTTTAGTAAATATAAACTGCTAAATACCTTTTCTCATCAGCAGTTAGAGCAGTCTTGTGACTTCAGCAGGGCACTGGTTAAAGCTTGTAGGAGGAGTTTTCTTTCTGCTCTAAGAGGATGTGAAACCTCTGAGCCTCTGTCTGGACAGTGCTGATTGGCCCTGTGCTGATAACATGCACTCTCCCAAGAAAAATAAAACCTCTCTAACAATACACATCAAACTGATCATGTGCATATGACTACAGATTCCGTATGTATCAGGTGGACATTTCAAGAAGAGAAGGGGTAGAGAAGAAAGGATCAAAAAGCCTTTTTACACAATGTAGAGGATTAACCACTTAGGTTCCACAGTGAGTATAACACGCATGCTTTACTACATATACTGATTTCACTGCTGTGGGCTTAGTAACACTTTAATGTACTAAAACTGGAGCACGCAAAATCTGGTACAGCTGTACATAGTAGCCAATCAGTTTCTAACTTCAGTTCGTTCAGTTAAGCTTTGACAGAAAAACCTGGAAGCTGAATGTTTTTTGTACAGAGCTGCACCAGATTTTGCACTTTTTTTCTACAGTTTTAGTAAATCAACCCCTTTTAAGTACAGTTTTTAATACATCACAGAACAAGACTGAATACCCACTGCTTACTGTATTTTTCGCTCCATAAGATGAACTTTTTCCCCCCCAAAAAAAGTGGGGTGAAATGTCAGTGCGTCTTATGGAGCAAATATGTAGCGGCCGGTCGGGTATTTCCCCCGAAGCCACCATGTCAGAATACCAGGCCGGCCGCTCAGCTCTTCTCTGCAGCAGGACCTTACCTGATCCTCGGTCCAGCGCTGTAGTCTTCCCACGCTGGCATCTTTAGTTTGGTGCTCACTGCGTGAGAAGTGCTGCACTTTGTGAATGGCCCAGCATCTTCTGGGACACATGACAGGTCCCAGAAGACACCAGGGCATTCACAAAGTGCAGCGCTTCTCGCGCCTATGCAGTGGACACACGGCTGTCAGTCGGGTGCCCACACTAAAGGGAGTCTCTTGGTCATCCCCTGTACTGTCTGCAGTCTCTTGGTTATCCCCTGTACTTTCTGCAGTCTCTTGGTCATCCCCTGTATTGTCTGCAGTCTCTGGTCATCTCCTGTACTATGTCCGCAGTCTCTGGTCATCCCCTGTACTGTCCGCAGTCTCTGGTCATCCCCTGTACTGTGTTCGCAGTCTCTGGTCATCTCCTGTACTGTCTGCAGTCTCTGGTCATCCCCTGTACTGTGTCCGCAGTTTCTGGTCATCTCCTGTACTGTGTCCACAGTCCCTGGTCATCTCCTGTACTATGTCTGCAGTCTTTGGTCATCCCCTGTACTGTGTTCGCAGTCTCTGGTCATCTCCTGTACTGTGTCCGCAGTCTCTGGTCATCTCCTGTACTGTGTCCGCAGTCTCTGGTCATCTGTACTATGTCCGAAGTCTCTGGTCATCTCCTGTACTGTGTCTGCAGTCTCTGGTCATCTCCTTTACTGTGTCCGCAGTCTCTGGTCATCTGAACTATGCTCGCAGTCTCTGGTCATCTCCTTTACTGTGTCCGCAGTCTCTGGTCATCTCCTGTACTGTGTCTGCAGTCTCTGGTCATCTGAACTATGTTCGCAGTCTCTGGTCATCTCCTTTACTGTGTCCACAGTCTCTAGTCATCTCCTGTACTGTGTCCGCTGTCTCTAGTCATCTGTACTATGTCCGCAGTCTCTGGTCATCCCCTGTACTGTCTGCAGTCTCTGGTCATCTCCTGTACTATGTCTGCAGTCTCTTGGTCATCCCCTGTACTGTCTGAAGTCTCTTGGTCATCCCCTGTACTTTCTGCAGTCTCTGCTCATCCCCTGTACTGTGTCCGCAGTCCCTGGTCATCTTCTGTAGTATGTCCGCAGTCTTTGGTCATCTCCTGTACTATGTCTGCAGTCTCTGGTCATCTCCCGTAGTATGTCCACAGTCTCTGGTCATCCCCTGTACTGTCTGCAGTCTCTGGTCATCTCCCGTACTATGTCTGCAGTCTCTTGGTCATCCCCTGTACTGTCTGCAGTCTCTTGGTCATCCCCTGTACTTTCCGCAGTCTCTTGTCATCCCCTGTACTGTGTCCGCAGTCTCTGGTCATCTCCTGTACTGTGTCCGCAGTCTCTGTTCATCTCCTGTACTGTGTCCGCAGTCTCTGGTCATCTCCTGTACTGTGTCCGCAGTCTCTGGTCATCTCCTGTACTATGTCCGCAGTCTCTGGTCAATTCCTGTACTGTGTCCGCAGTCTCTGGTCATCTCCTGTACTGTGTCCGCAGTCTCTGGTCATCTCCTGTACTATGTCCGCAGTCTCTGGTCGTCTCCTGTACTGTGCCCGCAGCCTCTGGTTGTCTCCTGTACTATGTCCGCAGTCTTTGGTCGTCTCCTGTACTATGTCCGGAGTCTCTTGTCATCCCCTGTACTGTGTCCGCAGTCTCTGGTCATCTCCTGTACTGTGTCCGCAGTCTCTGTTCATCTCCTGTACTGTGTCCGCAGTCTCTGGTCATCTCCTGTACTGTGTCCGCAGTCTCTGGTCATCTCCTGTACTATGTCCGCAGTCTCTGGTCATCTCCTGTACTGTGTCCGCAGTCTCTGGTCAATTCCTGTACTGTGTCCGCAGTCTCTGGTCATCTCCTGTACTATGTCCGCAGTCTCTAATCATCTCCTGTACTATGTCCGCAGTTTCTGGTCATCTCCTGTAGTAGGTCTGCAGTCTCTGGCCATCTCCTGTACTGTGTCTGCAGTTTCTGGTCATTTTCTGTACTATCTGCAGTCCATTGGTTCAGAATATTTTTTTTATTTTTTTTCACCTCTAAAACCTAGGCTTGTCTTATGGAAAAATACAGTATATTATATGAAAATGTCGGCTACTGCATATGTTCCTATACCAGAGATATGACGCTGTTCATTTCAATTACTGCTCAATGAGCAAACAATATAGCCAGGCAGCGGGGGAAAATAAACAATCTTCTTGGGTACATAGAGAGCTCACTAGCAATAGGAAGTTGGTGCAAATTTTTGGGAACCTAATATGGAAAGAAAGGAGGGGGGTGAGGGGGGGGGCATGACTGCAACCTTTAAAGCAGTATTAAATCTAAACCAAAGCTCTAATGTATTGCAGGTTAACAATCATTAGATGTGGAGGCAGCTTTAGTTTTAATTTTTTAGGCTTTTTCTTTATTGTTGTTTTTTACCCGGTGATCTAACTAGTAATACACCTTATGTATTAGAGTGCCCCCACTCTGGATGAAGAAGCACAGAGGCACCTTTGGAAAGCAGCATTCTCAGTCTAGGGGGAGGGGAGCGGCAGATGTACTAGCATATTTAGATACACTAACAAATTGAAGCCAAATTCCAGTTCACACTGTTGGTACGCAAGCAGTTACAGCAAAAGTTTTTTTTTCTTTTGGGATAAAGGTTTTAAATTTATAAATAAAACTGATCGTTGTCAGCACCCCTGCCAGTGGTGAATGGTTTATCTCATCCATATAACTGATACATCTGCAGGAGAGCTTGTTCTTTTAAAAAACAACAGACTGGCTGGATCACTAGATGAAAAGAGAGCCTAAAAAAGAAAATTAATGTGGCCATCACATCTAAGAATCAGTAAGCTGCAATATAATATTTGCTTTTGGGTTTAATAGCCCTGCCAGGATCCAGATATGAACCTCAAACCTTCGTGGTCTTTGTCTGTGCCTCTTCTTGCTGTGCCACCTGAAATGCTGGTTAGCACACTGTCTGATTCCTTGGACAACCTTGCTTTGTGCCTTGTTTCTGGTAAACCTTGAACCCTTTGCTCCTGCCATGAACTTCCTGATTTAAGCCATGTCTCTGCACTTCCTGTTTGCCAGATCATTGTGCTCTTCTCCATCCAATATCTTGCTCCCTTTGCTCTTGCTGCCATCCATATCTTCTCTACCACTGGTTATTGACCCTTGGTTTGTTCCCCGACTACACCTCCATGTGATCCCAATCTGCAGACATCTGTTACCAACTTTTAGCTTGTTCCTTGAATAAGTTTTAACTTGATCACAACCTGCAACCGCTTGTTTACAGACTACACTTTTGCTTGATCACTACCTGCTACATTTGCCACCGGACCCTGGTTTGCTCACCTCTATGGTGGGGGAATCCTGAGAAGCATGAGCTGCCAAAAGCAAGCAGCAAAACCCATCTCCACTATCAGGAGCACTGGTGAAGACCCATGTCATCAGCCAGAGTGACCTGCTCATGTAGTTATCTTGCCCGTCAGTGTGAACCTCTCTACTGCTATACCTACTGGTCTCGGAGCCTGACCCCTGACAGTGATAACTCCTTTAAATGTATTAATGTTGTTAATAAGGATGTGGAGGGCACTATTTTCATTATGAAGCTAAGTTTAATAAGTCTCTTTAAAAAAAAAAAAGCAGCCACTACAAATACTGTAGCTGCTAACTTTTAATAAAAAGACACTTACCTGTTCATTGCTGGCCTCATCTGGGCCAGTTCTTCACTTGTCTTCCCAGCACTGGCATATTTACTATGGGAAGCCGGCAATGATTCCATGAGGCTTCGCAGCAGGCTCCCCACTGCGCATGTGCTAGTCATGATGCACTTTGCGAATGGACCCACAGCCTCCTGGGGCCTGGGACGTGCCCCAGAAGGTTTGGGCAGAGAGGGGGGAGGGTTAACTAGAGCCTAGGTAATCCCAGTGGAAATGGGAGAGTGTACCTGTCAAAACTTGGCAAAAAAAGTGAGAGAAAACAGGAAGGGATATAGCAGAACTTCTTTTTCAAGGTAAGTCGATCTTTAAGAACATGACCTCAGACTATTAGGAGAAAAGTTCAAAATTAATCTTAGAAAGTATTATTTTACTAAAGGAGTTGAACAGACTTGCAACATTCTACAAATTGAATGGTTAGTTGAACTGTACCAAAAACTGTCTATATAGATAAGGGGTATCTGTAGATAAAAACAAACTGCAGTTTTAAGTAGGGTTGAATAATGCCCTTGCTATAGGTGGAGGCCATTTATGTACCTCTTGGAACTTGACTAGAAAACTTCTGGTACATTGCTTAGGATGCTGCTAAGAGAAGCCTAGCTGTTACTGTTCACCTTTACTATCACAAGAGTGAGCTCTCAAATGCTGAGCTCAGAACTATTGCATCACAGGAGAGAGAGACAATGTGTGAGGTAATTTGGATCAGAGAAAGAGCTTGCTCTTGTGATATTGAAGGTGAACAGTAACAGCTAGACTTCTCTTAGTAACATCCTTAACAATACCCAAGAAGTTTTCTAGTCAAGCTTCAAGAAGTATTTAAATGGCCTCTACCTATAGCAAGGGCATTGTTCAACTCTGGTTAAAGTTGCACAGTTTGTTTTTATCTACAGATGCCCCTTATCTGTATAGACAGGTTTTGGTACAGTTCAACTAACCATTCAGTTTGTAGAGTGCTGGAAGTTTTGTAAAGAGTAACAGCTAGGCTTCTCTTAGCAGCATCCTTAGCAATGTCCCAATGTCCTTCAAAATGTCCTAGCAGTTTTCCAGTCAGGTTTCATGGGATATGTATATTGCCTACACCAATAGTAAGGGCGTTATTCAAGTTTGGTCAAAGCTGCCCAGTTTGTTTTTATCTTGTGGTATAGCATTGCCCTGCCAGGGTCTAGAAAGATTTTATGACCCAGGATTCTCAACCAGGTGGGTTGAGGAACTCCAGGGAGCTTGTGTCATGGAGAGGAAACTGGCTTTTAAGTTTCCTCAGTGTTTGGTAAAGTCCATTTTGGGACCTGGAGATTTCAAGATGATCCGGGAGGCATGAAATCTCCAATCCTGGGACTATGTTTTCAAAACCACCAGCACACTAAATGGTCAGATGTGTGCTGGGCTATTAGTAGTGACCTGATCGTGGTTCTGGGCTCCACCTCTTGCAGACAGGAGGTCATTACCTAGGGGAGAGGTGGTAACCAGAACAGCAAGGGTCTGTTAGCTGTGTGAACAGAGTTGGTGAGCCAATGGTCTGTAGAAGACAGACCAGGGCCTGGGGTGTAAGGCCAGAGCGGCAGCACTGTATGTGCAAGCAAGTGCCCTAGATGACATATCTTTGTTTTTGAATGTAGAAGAGAAGTTGAAAACCCCCTGAGTGGAAAACTGATGAGTTTTGCTTTTGAACTTTCTTTTAATAAAATTGGGCCAGAAAAGCCCCTGGCCTCCCTGGTGGTATTCCCGAGTGTAGCTCAGGGAAAGTTTCAGTACCACAAGCGGTAACCCCAAGCTACACTCGGGCTTACCATGCGGCGCTGCTCCACGATCCCTCGATCACTTACCTTGTCCTGCGCTCCCACGATGTCCCACCTGCATTGTCCCCAGCAATGTAATCCGGCGGATGCCGGCATCTGTCATCTGGGTTCTGTCCCCTGCGAGCGTTGGGACATACGGGGGACGGAACGGTGGGAAATTTGAAAATAACAAAAAGTGACATTCACTAAAATCACTAAAATCACATAGTATAACATTACTGTACCAAACCATTTCACATACATTTTGTCCCGACTGCTTTGTCCTGTGCCCTGCTTGCATTTTTACTGTTCTTTCTGCCTGGAAACTGAGAAACGTCCATGGCGTCCAAAAAGCATCCCTTTAGGTGAAAATCGGTTTTAGCCCAGCTAGAGTACAGCAATAGTAAATCAGAACTACTTGCAGAATTGAGTGATAATGATTCATGGGGGAAATTCATCATCAGACACTGAAAACGATTTTGCGAGTTTGCTCAGTGATGTGCGAACATGGCGCTATATTTCAAATTTCAGTGTTTTTGGTTTGATTATATTATTGAATTAAATTTATTATTATTATATTATTATTTTTTATGATTATTTATTAAATCATAATTTATGATTTCGTGTTTCAAGTTTTATCCTACCCGGGATGTTTACTAGACTCTTGTTCAGACAGATTTCAGTGAGTTATTCCTAAAAAAATTACAGGCCTACAATAAAAAAAATACATA